TGTCTTGAAAAGTGAATTCAATTGTAGATGAGACTCATGGAGACTCAATCGAAAATTTCCAAGCCAAGACTTCATCCGTGAGTGTCGAAGAATTTTCATTCAAAGGAGCAAGAAATGAAGATTATTCTTTCAACATTCAATCCTTCAACCCCAGAAGCAAGGTCAAGCTGTAATTGAAGATTATGTGACAGATTGCATTGAAGCCTCCTCAATCAATTTGCTGGTATTCTTGAACCTGCTGAAGTGATCAAGAAGATTATTTCTCTCTGAAGATTCTCAAGCTGAAAGCGTCATCTTTCAAGAATCTTTTTAAGATGCCTCCTCACCCAACGTGCGTTCAATGCCAAATTCTGAAGAAAAGCCCAACTGCTCAAGATGAAGTCATTCATAGAAGATTCATATGTGCATCTTGATGCTGTGAAGAAAATTGAAGATTAATGCTGAAGCCAAGCTCCCGATGAAGATTAACAAGAAAAGTCAACTACTTTTTAGGGGGAGCTTGTTGGGTCAATTAGAAAAGAAAGCTATAAACCAAGGGGGAGATTGTTGGGTCTAAAATTATGGTTTATACTTTCCTTTTCTAGGCAATTGTATTTTTATGTAATGTTTGAAGAGTTTACGGCTATGTTTACGGTCGTGAACAGGTTTACGGCCGTGAATCTGTTCACGGCCCATGTCTCATATATATATATATATATATATATATATATATATATATATATATATATATATATATATATATATATATATGGTGAGGAGTGCATGTGGGTGGATAGTTGAGAGGAGCTTAAGTGTGTGTATTCTAAGGTGTGAGAGAACATAGAGAGAAGAGCTAGTGTGTGAACTATGTGTATGGAGTTTTATTCTATTCATTGAATACATCATAGATTCATCATTCTTCTTCTCATTCTCTTCTATTTTAATCTGACATCATCCGTTTGATTGGGATTCCGCACCATCAAACGGATCTGATTGATACACAATAAGATTGGGGACTTACAGGATGATCATTTTATTTTGTGTGCACCTAAAATGTAGTCTTTTGTTTTAGTTAAAGAGAAACTCTCGGTTGGGATCTCTCCCACCGAAGTGTTATTCATTTCATATTGTAATCTCTCTTTCTCTTATAATCATCACATTACTCATCTTATGTTATTCATATTTTTGTTAATCGATAAATCACAATATCCTTTTATTCCGCACCTAGTCGATCGTTCAAATAGATCCTACAATCTTTAGCCCTTCATACCTCAAAAAACTATGTTTGAGTATCATGTGTGGATATGGTCAACCATGATTGAAGTCCGGATGATCAATTAAGATCAAAACAATAACATTTTTCATTTTTCCAATGATAGAAATTTGTATCGATAAATCTTGCAAATCGTTTCATTTTCTTGTTCAAATTTGATGGCCTAAGCGACAATTTTATGAAGAACAACATTTGAAATAAAACTCCTTCTATGGAAAGAGATGGGAAAGTGATAAGCAAATTGTTAAAAAGCATAACAACTTATAGACACCAACTTCACGGACTTCAAATAATTTAGTGATCATCATTTGCTAGGGTGAAACTACGGTAGTTGAAAAAAGTAATAGCATGAGAGCAACGTACGTGACGATATATACTTGCGAGACAAATTTGTCAGATAAAGTACATTCTCGCTAATTCACGGTGCAGACTTGCGAGCTTGTATTTTCCAAAAAGAGAAATTAAATATCCTCCTAATTTTGTTCCTATAAATCCTCCTACCCACTTAAATGATGACATGTGTCATATGAGTATATTAAAATATCATTAAATAAGCATTAAATGTTACACATGTCACTATTTAATTGGGTAGGAGGATTTTTGTAGGCATAAAAAATACGAAAATATTTAATTTCTCTTCCAACAAAGTTGTTTGTAAGTAATATAAAATAGTCATTTAAGTGAATAACTATTTTTTTTGAAATTATAACTAATCACTTAAAATAAACTTCAAATGTATAAGCCTAAGATGAAAAAATATCTACCGGAAGTTAGACAAGATTTTGATCGTAATGTTGCAAGAAATGGACTTGACCTCTAAGATTTAAGTGAAAATTGTTGCAAAAAATCGGATTTGGAGAGGGTTTGGAGATGCCCTTAGACCTTCTTTTACATTTCGACACACGCCATTCAACAGCTTGCATTATTTATTCTAAGGTTCTTCTATATCTCTTATTATACTTGATCCATCAAAGTTTTCAATCTTTATTTGTTATTAATTTAGATTATTATGTATGTTGTTGAACCATCACATTGGTGTGGCTCGTCGGATAAAGCTTGGGGTCCCTTAGGGGAGGTTTCAAATTCAAAGCGAGCCCTCTCCCCTATCCTCGCAAAGTGAGGAGCCGCCGTGGGCGGCTGGGAACCCATCATTACTTAAAATGGCAACCTATAATACAGAACTTGTTTTTTAGTTCACTAAACTTTTAATTGCATCCATTAAGGAAATTAGCTTTTTATTTTGGTTTCAAAATACTAACGGTTACGATTTTTATCAATTACAATGACAACGAATACCAGCCCTTGCCAAATCTAATTAAAAGCTTCTTGTAATCATTTTTTCAAACTATAACCGATAATCATTAGCAACGCCATATTGTTTTGTGACCTTGTCATTTTAATCGGTAAAAATGTATGTCTTTAAAGTTACAGTTTGAGAAAAATGACTACAATAAGCTATTAGTTAGACTTGACAAAGGCAATGACGGTGTTCGTTGTCGTTTTAGCCAATAAAAATTTTAATCGACGGTATTTTAAAACCAAAATGAAAAGTTAGTTTGCTTATTGGTTATAATTAAAAGTTTAATGACTTAAATAACAAATTTTGAATTATTGGTTACCATTTTAAGTTATTTTCCCTTTTCTATTATTAGGATTTGTCTATACAATTAACATTTGAAACAACGACCAAATTAACGAAGGTGCATTGTGTTGAAGTGCATAGCAATGAAGATAAATCCCACAAACTTCTCTGCTGTGTGGAGATTGGATAAAGCCTTGATGAACAATGAAGACAGATGGAGAGAACTACAAGGGATGTTTGGGGAAAGATATCAAGAAGGGATGTATGGTTGATGGGTATCTTCTAATTTGGTATGTATCTAAATACCATTGAATATTCATACCTAAAACGTTGTATTGAATATCTTTCACACTTATGTTTTCTATATATCTTATGACATATTTCACTCTCCCTCATTCTTGCCATTTCTCCTTGGATATTGTTTTTCACTAGTAAGATCTCTCGTCTTTCGATATTGAATATCCTTCGATATTGTTTTTCACACTTATGTTTTCTATATATCTTATGATTCATATTTCACTATTTCTGATTATAACTTATTGTAATTTTGAATCTCCTGGATTGTTTGTTTTTGAATTGGAAATCAAAGCGAGATGTTGAAAGTTGGATCATTGGATCTTACATCCGGACTTAGTGGCAATATAAAAAAAGATGAAGTCCTTTTTGCTGTCGACAGGTATGTATATTAAACGTAGTAAAACTTTCTCAATATTTTAAATCTGAAATATATTATATTACTATACGAACATATGCATTTAATTCGATCTGGAATTGATTAGTTATCTTTAGCTATCGGATAATTAATTTTCTTTTCTTTTGAAGCGAAATTCCATAAGTAACGCTTCAGTTTGGTTTTCCTTTGGTTTTAATCAATGAAAGAATTTTGTATAGTTATTTTTTTACTTGAAATTAAGAAACTACAATTGTTTCCCCCCTATAACGATTTGAAAAAAAAAAATCGGGAAAATATTTTTCTAGTTAAAGATGGATTTTTTTAAAAAGATTCAAAGTTTTAGCGGCAAAATCATAAACGAAAAATTCTTCAAATGGTTAGACTGAACTAATTCCAAACGTTTGTGGTTTTTATAAAATCCTAAGTCTTGTATAAGGATTTTTTTTGTAAAACAAATAGCCTTTCCATGGTTAACCAAAAAAACATAATAATAATAATAATATAATTATGGTTTTTATATAACTTTACCCTCTTTTGATTGATCCTCTAGATTTGGTTCAAATTGACAAGTATTTTAGGTTACTCAAAGAAAAAAAAATGCCAAATAGATTTAATTTTATAACAAGCAGTACTGCAAATAGAACAATCATTGATGTCAATAGATATAAGACTTTATAGACTTTATGGACTTGATTGATAATTCTATAAAATCACTTTTTTTACCTATCATGTGTTTATATAATAAAGAGTGAATCACGTAAATTATCTATATGGTTTACCAAATATTATGTATTGTGCCCCTATCATTAATCTTTAACATCATCCATTATTGTCGTAAATATTGAGGGTAGGGACGCAATCATAATTTTTGGGAAACGATATGGACGATTTAAGTCATACACTCTTTATTAAAGTTTCACTATGAAAAGAGTCGTGGATTTAAACTTCAAAATGATCGGTTTGGATGTTCATGTTGCTATCAAATATGATGTGGCATAATGATCTATATAATCTTATTATCGATGGTTTTTTGTCGTTTAATGCAGATATGAAAAGTATCATGCAAGTTTGGAGGTCTTGATGAAGAGAGGAAGGCAAACTACATGGACATGGTAAAAACTAAAAACTACTTTGCTTTTTTAAGGACCATTTTATCATATAGGAGTACTAGTATATCCTGTTAGATCGGGGGAGTGGTGCTGAGACCACCAAACTCCACCTCAACTCCACATCCTTCTTTGCCGAGCATTCCAGGCTTATTATGTATAAACATAAATGTATTATAACTTCTTTCAGCCTAATAATTATTTTATGCAGCTTAAAGTGTTTTACTCAACATTCACATATATACTTAGAGTTCTAGTTTAATTTTTCTTCTCACAACACTAGACTTTGAAAAATATACCCATTATAGTGATGTCGACTACAAAATAATTTTTTCACTATTATAATCGAGTAGGTTATTCCAAGTACATTGTCTTAACAAAGAAAAAATGAAGGTACAATAATATAACATAATCAACACTATAATAACACGTGTAAAAGGGTGTTGCTATTTTTTTTTTTTTGCATGTAACGCAAAATAATTTTGTTTCAGGTTAACAAATATTACGATCTTGCCACAAGCTTCTATGAGTACGGTTGGGGAGAATCATTCCATTTTGCCCCAAGGTTATAATTTATTGTTTACTTTATTTTATTTTATTAATTTTGAAAAAAAAAATTTACATTTATTCTGGTTGCAGATGGAAAGGGGAATCTCTTCGTGAAAGCATCAAGCGACATGAGCACTTTCTTGCTTTACAACTTGGCATAAAGCCTGGGCAAAAGGTTTTGGATGTAGGATGTGGAATTGGTGGACCTTTGAGAGAAATCGCTAGATTTAGGTAACCAACTTTGTACTTCTGACATGAAATGCATTATTTTTCTTTCTATTTTTTCTCTTCACATTCCTTTTGTTAGCATCAAATATACTTTATATATGTCTCACAAATAAGAAATTGAATTGTTATATACTCCTCGCAGTTCCACATATGTGACAGGAATAAACAACAATGAATATCAGATAACAAGAGGAAAGGTTCGTTCTTGTTTAGTTTTATTTATCTACTTCAACTACTTCATGTGTTGATTAATTCTTTTTTATTTAACGGGGGAAAACTTAATTCATACAGATATATAAGGGTGTTTCCTTTTAGTTAATACAAAACAGGACTATTTTAAGTTATTAATGACATTGTGGTTAAATATCAGTTTAGATTAAGAAATATAATTTGAATTACTATATATCATATATACTTCAGAGTAGTTCATATTTTTTAATTATTTTCATATACAATATATATTTGTAACAATTATAAAAAAAATAGTTATTTCCTATCAACATTAGATTTCTATACATAAGTGTAAAATAGTCATTTTTTTATCATTCAAACGGTTTATTCGGGCAAAAGAAAACAACGTTTCTTCATAAAACACTTGATCGAGACACACATCTCTTAGGAATAAACAAGAATAAATCATGCACATAAGAATACAATATTTAATGTGGTTCGGTCAATGTGACATATGTCTATAAGACAGGAGGGAGTCTTCTTTTTCACGGTCTTGACAAATGATAGTACATTTGAAATGCTAGCCACCAGTTGTATTATATAGGAAAAGTACAAATGTAACCCTAACTAGATTGGCCGACCCTCAACCAAATCCCACACAATTATCATGTCGGTATCATGTGTCAACAAGTTCCTTTACTTTGTTCGGGTGGGTCGATATCTATTTGGGCTGTAAACTCGCAAGTTAAATTTAACATCATTTATCCGTACAACACTTAATGGAAATGAGGCATTCCTCTTTAGGACCTAATTTTTTACGAAATTTCCCTTTTCCTTCCATTTTTTCTAATGTGACATAATTTTGTTAAATATATTTTAAACATCACTCTCTAGACATCATGAGATATGTTGCTATAATTATTTGATTTTGATTTTTTTACTGACATATATTTCTATTTTGTCTCAAGGTACTAAACCGTGCTGCAGGAGTGGAGCAAACCTGCAATTTTGAGAAGGTCACATTTTTTGTCGAGCATCAAGTGTAGTATAGTTCATAAATTGTGTTTGGTGCAAAAGCTAGAATATTTTTAGAGCTTATTGAATTAGTGTTTGGTGAGACCACAAATGTTGCTTATAAATTAGTTTAAAAGTAAACTTTTTTTATAGTTATTTGAGATAGCTTATTAATAACTTATAAACTAAAAGTTAGTTTTTCAGCTACCGAGCCAAACACAACCTTAATGGCTTATATTTTCTTATTAATTTTATGAGAGTTACTTATATTTTCTTTTTAATGGTACACTTCAAAAAGGAAGGAAAAATTAAACAAGCCAAAATTTGTAAAAAGTTAGGATTTACTAAGGAAACCATAACTCCTTACTTGATTTTCTCTATTAAATGATTATTTGCAGGGTGATTTCATGAAGATGCCTTTTCCTGATAACAGTTTGATGCAGTGTATGCAATTGAAGCTACTTGTCACGCTCCTGATGCGGTATTTAAATAATTGCTTATGTTTTTTTTTAAAATAATTATAAATTTTTTCCCTCATGGCCTCATCTACTTGTTTTCTTTTTGTCATCTTTATCAAACCTTTCATTTATGATTTAAAGGTTGGATGCTACAAAGAGATATACAGAGTCTTGAAGCCAGGTCAGTGTTTTGCTGCAGATGAGTGGTGCATGACTGATGTATTTGATCCAAATAACCAAGATCACCAACAAATTAAGGTATAATGACACTCATCCCATTAGACTGATTGGATACAAATATAACAATTACAATACATAATTAATTATTACTTAATTTATAACTACATTTATGCTATGAGAACTTGCCGAAATAGAACAACTGATAAATTTAAATTCTATATCATAAAATTTTCAATATCATAATCAATATTGTTCTCATCTTAAAGCCCTCGGTTAATTTTTTGTAATAATATATTTTGTGTAGATAAATGTTTTATCTTTGTATTAAATTATTTCATATTTTATATTTAAAACCATTTTTTTTCTGTTTACCAAATTAATGTGTCTCTATTCATCAACACCAAAAGAAAGTTGATGATTTTGTAGTATAGTTGGGGTTGCTCTAAGTTACATAACTTTTGAAGGGTATTTTAATCTAAATTTATATCAACAGGCAGAAATTGAGCTTGGTGATGGCCTCCCAGACATTAGATCCATAAGACAATGTCTTGCTGCATTGAAAGAAGTGGGTTTTGAAGTGAGTTGTAACAACCTTACTTACGTCTTATATTGCATTTGGCATCCATTAGATTAGGACTAATAATGATGTTAATAGGAAAAATATTGCAATTTCTTTTTCTACTAAAAAATTTGGAATATAAACATGCTCCTCAATTTCTCATTTGTACAAAAGATGTCAATATCATCATTATCAAAAAGTAATAGTCCTAGAAAACTTGTCGCATCCCATTCCGTACATCATTGTACCTTGTAACAAACTCACCTTTTTAGACATACTTTCTTAGGTACTAACTAATAACAAGGATTAGGAAAGCATTTAGGTATTTTGAATAAATGGGAGATTAATATCAAATATATGTCTCACCTCTTTTTGTAGAACAATAAATTATTTTTTTGTCCCATTGACATCAAACAATACAACATGTTAGGTTTTGTTTTGCATAACAAAGAATCTAACAATTTGTCTTTATGGAGGTTATATGGGAGAAAGATCTAGCTAAAGATTCACCCCTTCCATGGTACTTACCTCTCGATACAAGTCAATTCTCTCTTGTCAATTTTCGTGTTACAGTTGTTAGACGCTTTTTTACAAGGAACATGGTAATATACATTGACATGAATTGATTTCGACTATTACTATTACATACATTCACCAAAAATGTTGTATTATTGCATTATGTTGTTCTAATAATAGGTTAAGGCCTTTGAATGGATGGGACTTGCTCCAAAAGGGAGTCAAAGGGTTCAAGCTTTTTTAGAGAAAGCTGCCGATGGGCTTTTCGCTGGCGGAAAGTAAGATTTCATATTTTCTATCTTTAGATGTCTCATTTAAATAAGTAAAAAAGAAATTCATTCATGTTTGTAGCATTGTTTTTACACAATAAACAGACTCACATAGTCTTACTAACATCACATAATCTTGTGGTGTGGCAGGAAGGAGATATTCACACCAATGTACTTCTTCTTGGCTAGAAAGCCCAAGTAGCTTATTTTGTATGTTCTTTTCAAGTGTATTATGAGTGGTAGAAATCAATTATGAATTTGTTTAAAAGTAGTTCAATTATTTAAAATTTCGTGCAAGATTGTTATATGTTTCATGTATTTCTATGGAGCTAAGACTATATAATCTTTCTATGACTATGTTTTATGACAAAGATGGAAAGGACATTTACGTCTTTTGTGCAAATAAGAGATCGAGGGTGAGTCCTTATCGACCTTGTCCTATTGATATATGTTTTAGTCTGATGCATGCCAACAGTAGTATGAGGTTATTATGTTTTATTATACAATGTCTTGTCATACGTAACCATTATACATAATGGATTAGATATGAAAATGTTTCCAAAGCCATTTTCAATTATAAGAATGTCATCGTCATTTATATTTTGCACATAATAATTCCCTAGTAATATCTCACGCAAAGATTAATTATCAATATGGAAAGTATATTCTAATGGTTTAAGGAGTTTTAGCTTTACTACGAATAAGCATGGATCAGTTTGGATAAGTGTTTTGGCTAAACCCAAACCCAAACCCAAAATGCAAAAGTCAGTTTTTTCAGTTTCAAAACCTATATATGTTCCTTTCCAAAACCTTTATGGTTTCAATTTCGACATTGGTCAGTTTGGGCTTGTGGGTTTTCGGTTTGAACCTGTGGGTTTATGGATCATGGTTTCCCATTTTTTGGGTTCAAAACAACTAAAAATATGCTGCTATAGATGGTATCGTATCCAATTTTAATATAATGAAAACACTATCAACTAAGCAAAGGTAGATGTACCAATTATGGTATTCTGCATTCATAAAAAAGATCAAACAATCAAAAACAAAAAAGTATATATAAACTTAACATCAAATATGAAAAACACTATATACAACTATTGATACATATGCACAAATTATGACAATAAAATAGTAAGCATGAATGAAGCAGGAGGTAGATTTACAAATGTTAGGTAAGTGATCAAAAAAGATGTTGCTAGATAGTGACACAACCATTAGCATAGTTTGTTAAAGAAAATAAATATATAATGTAGTACAATGTGGCATTAAAATAAATTTTGGGTTAAAAGTATCAGTAAGGCTAAAGTATAGGTACCATTATTGTAAATATGGGGAAGATCAGTTCAACCCATTTAGGCTGTCCAGGGTGGGAGCATTAAAGGTGTGTCCTTTGGCATCATTGGCGCAAACATTACCCACATAATGGCGTTATGTGTATCATCGTGAATTGAAGTTGTTATGGATTTGTTAAAAGACACCTTCTCTCTGTCTTTATCTTCTTATCCCCCCCCCTCTATCTCTATTTTCCCTTTTTTAAAACCTCTTTGGTGGTGGTGGAGGAGGAGGAGAGTAATTGATGTGGAGCTGGGGTGGAAGGTGACCACATCAGACCACTCTCCCTGCCACTCCGGACAACCATAGCAACGTATACAGAGTTTTTGTTGAGTTCTTTTTGTAACATCCATAAAATTAGAGTAAATTTAAATTTTTTGAAAACATCCCAATAACCATAAATGTTTGCAAAAACTTTGTTTCAAAAGTGTTAATCAATAATCAGAGTGTCCCAAAATCCACATAACATAAATCTGAAGGATGTGCACGATCACGCATTTGTCTTGCCATGGTCATCTAAAGTACCTAAAACAATAAACTGAAACTGTAAGCCAAAGCTTAGTGAGTTCCCCCAAAGTACCACCACACAAACATATAACCAGACAGATATCAGTTCCACAACCTTTCGGTTGGAATGCCCTGTCCCATAACCTTTCGGTTGGATGGTCAATACATATTGAGTCTACATCCTCCTGGTTGGATTACCCAGACCCACAACCTTTCGTTTGGAATGCCCCGGTATGTTGACTGACAGCACAAAGCAGTACAATCTTAACCCCCACCATATCATATCGACATATACATAACAAATAACATATATATCTAGCAACATATAAACATATAACCAGTCAGCAGACAAAAATGCAGATCTACAGATCACTACCACATAGCAACATCATATATACTAGGATACAGATCTAACAGATCACTATATCATAATGACATCCTATATACTAGGATACACAATCTAGTGGGACGACATTAATGCCTTCGAGCCACGAGTACAGTGAGGAAAACTCACCTCTTAGTCTGAAAAGATCGTTGAACAAGGAACTGTTCTGACTATCAGCTCTATCGGTCACCTATTCATTGGAACATGACCAAACTTAACATATAATGAAAATACCCAAAATACCCTTAGGTCAAAATTAGTTAAACCCTGGTCAAAGTCAAAAGTCAACAAAATCAGCCTAGTCAACTCAACTGTATACGCTGGGCGTACTCAGCCTGTACGTGAGGCGTACTCGGGCTTGACCAGGTAATCGAGCCATTGACTGCGTACACTGTAACAACCCCTTATTTCAAGTCAATGTAAGTCAAACTTGTTCAAATAAAAGTCTAAACTACAATCGTATACAAGTGAATTCACATCATAACATTAATACAATAAAAACTTTGAATGCCATAAGGGCATGTTTATATAAGTTATTGTATGAGCATACTTTGAAAACCATACTTATATATTGAAAACCATGCATATATAAAAAGTTAAATACAAATCAACATAAGTCAAGGAAGTAAGTTAAAAAGCATGAAATGCACCTTACCATGTTGATTTCGGTATTTGGAATCTAAAAACACTTGTGTTTTCGGTTTTAAGCATCTAGAAACATTAGGTTTTTGGTTTTGGGTATCATGGACCACTTTAGGTTTTCGGTTTTGGTTTTGGTTTTGGTTAAATTCTCCTTTTGCTTTCTTCTAGAACCGAAATCACCCACTTAGGTGTGATGATAAACCGAAATCAAGAGGATTTCGGTCTTAGTAAGGCCGAAATCACCTTCTTTTGGCCGAAATCCACCTTAAATATCTAGATATTTTACTTGATTAAGTTCCCAAAGTGATAAGATACACATTCCAATGTAAACAGTTACCCAATCCTTCATATCTTCAAAGCAGGTACCCAGAACATCTTCAAGTTTTCCTAGGAAATCAATATATCAAGTTAATTTCCAAAGACTTCTTGTAAGTATTTATACATAACTAGTGTTATTTAACACTTAAGTTAATCATTTCACTAATTTAAACACAATATTATATGTTTAAATACTATTAGGACTTGGATTTTCTGCGTGTTCTAACGAAGAACGTCACTACCACATCGTACCTAACCAAGAACACACATTTGAGGTGAGTTCATACCCCTACGTTTTCACTATTTTTCATTGTTTTTTTTGGGGGGGGGGATACAAGTAAAACTCAAGAAATCTTGTGTTAATATTTAAATTATTTCAAATAGTATCAATCGTTGTCGTTACTAAAAAAATATATTTACACACACACACACACACACACATATATATATATATATATATATATATATATATAAATTATATAATTAAGATTTAACATGCTTAGAATTGATTATTTTGCTTTATTTCTTGTTCCTTGTTTGGTTGTGGGCTTAGGGTAGAATCATTTATTCGACTGCCTTTTTAATCATAATTATATAAGTATTATATATATATATATATATATATATATATATATATATATATATATATATAAGTATAAAACTATTTAAACGTGTTAAACAAAAAGAATATTTTTACAATTTATTTTACTACCATTTGGACATAAATGTTAAATTTCACGAAATATCTTTATCAAGGATTTACGATTTCAAATTTGCAAAGTCGTTAATAATACAAATGTTTTCATTTCAGTAGAACACACACTATAAACTATAATAGGTATAGTTTATGGAACTTACATATCATTTTACCATGTTCGAGATATAATACAGAAAGAAACATATAAACTATAATAGGTATAGTTTATGGATCATATGCACTATATTACCAAGTTCAAAATACATTACGGAAAACAAACATATAAACTATAATAAATATAGTTTATGAGATATACATACAGTTATTTATTACAAAAAAGACTTTCATTATTCTACACGTAACCGTCAATATAGCTTTGTGAGACACACTTCACGTACTTATCTAAGGACCAACGAAAGCCCTGAAATTATAACCAGAGTTTCCTAGAGGGAGAGTGTGACACTTGTGTATAGATCTATACGGGACTGACAATCCCGCACCTTAACTGTTAGCTTCATTTAGGCCGGCAGGCTTGGGGTGACAAATGTTGTACCGATTCCGACGCCTGAAGAACGTTGTATTCAGTCCATCTTAGGTCATCAAGCATGGTTATGATAACTCACAATTTGGTATTGAACATTACGAGTAGTGTACGAATACGTAAACACATAGTTTTATTAAATAATAAAACTACAATACAATATTTTACAGTACAACTGGTGGATCCAGGCAAATATACTCACATAATTTCATACAAGTACAACTACAGTATACTAATTTCTTAATACATAGAAACTTACATTTCAGGAAACATTCATTTTATGGTTTTATGTGGATTAAAATTACATCATACTATTTCAGAGTACAATAAAAGTTACACGTTTTTGGTCTTAGGGTATTAAGACTACACTACATTTACAACAGAAAATATAGGATTTTTTTGGAAGAACACACTTACATTTTCAAGGAACAAATGACAGATTTCAAATACAAACATGCTTATGAACTCACCAACTTAATTGTTGACACTCTTTTCAAAACTACTTGTATTCTTAGGAAATCAGTAAACATGTACTCACATGTTTTGAGAAGACGGGGCTTCATAGTGTCATGTCTTTTGAGTTTTTGTTATACATTTTGGTGTCAAGTATACATTGATTTGAACACAAATGTAAAACTATATATTATTAATATCATGGTTGTTGTACTTTGATTACTATTATGCAATTCTTGTGATACTGTACATGACGTCATCCCCCCCCCCCCCCCCGAACGTTTCCACCGTTCTGGTTTGGGGTGTGACATACACTCACCGTACCAT